AAGAGGATTCGTCCCAGATGCCGTGTCCTCACATGACCCTGAATTCCACCCCACCCTGGTGGCCCCAAGAGGAGGCTGAGGTGCTGAGCCCTTGGCTGTGACTCAGCGGAAGGAAGACAGGAGGGGGGAGGGGGTTGTGACGGTGCTGGGGCCCTAGGGCTTTGCTTCTCATTTCTCTTTCCAGAGCAGAGCTAGTTCCCAGAAATGAAGGTGCTAGAACTACAGAAAGCCCAGGCTTTCAGGGGCACCAGGTTCCCTAGACCTCCCCCCACCACCAGAGATACCACCGTAGGCCCCAGGGAAGCCCCTGGTCCCGTCCTCTGCTTGGGGACTTCTTCCCTGCCTCGGAACCAGGGATTGAGTACCTGGAAGGTCCACTCTAGGAGGGGGTCGTGGACTCTTGAGACTTTCCAGGAGCAGTGGCCCAGACTCACTGGCTGGGATACTCCCCTGGGTGAGAGGAGGCACCGGGAACCTCCAGGACACGTAGGGGTGGAGCAGTCAGGGCAGGCTTCCTGGGAGAGGCAGAGGCTGCCGACACCGAGAACCTCAGATGCCCCATGAGTTCCTTCTCCCTTCCCTTCCCTTCTTCTTTTTCTTCCTGTCTGTCTCTACATCTTTCATACAGTTAATTATTGAGAAAAGCCCAACTCAGAAAACCATACACAGACTGAAAGGGGCACACCACCAAATTATGATGTTTTAGCTCCTCCCTGTGTGTCCAGGGAACCGGGTTCATGCTGAGCTTGAAATAAAACTTCCCCTGCTCCCTGTGAAGAAAGAACAGCAGGGAGGCCTCAGACACATAGCCACCAGCTGTAACCACTTATCTGTCAGCCGGGTCCCTTGGTCCCGTGTGACCAAAATCAAACACTGAGAGAAACTGGACACCGAGGCGACATGAGACTGCAGGTCCCTTCCCGCTCCTGTTCCCGGCCCCTGTTCACTGCTGTTCTCCTTGATGGACCTCCGCTAAGAAAATGCTGAGTTTGAACGTATAAAATGCAGTTATGTTTAAGATGCTGCTTTTATCTTTTTTAAAACACATATTTGAGTTCCACATGAAACTTGATTTGAAAGAATGAACCCCGCAGTTCTCCAGGCTGGGCAGGACTGGGACGGGACCGGGGGTTTCTGTGCAGGAGAAAGGGCGGGGTGCTGGTCACCTCCCGAGCAGGGGATGCCGTCAGGAGGGCTTTAGGCGCATCCCAGGCCTGGGCACCCGGAATGTCCCCTGGACGGGACGCGCAGGCTTCACGGCCCAGCGCGGAGAGGGGACTCACCCCCTCACCCACCTGCAGCTGAGAGCTGGAGCCTGGCCTCTGCCGCCCCACCCCACATCCGGAGCTCCTCCGAGCCTCCTTCAGCGTCTCCGCAGCAGCCGCTCGCTGCCCCTCCCCCCTCAGGGCGCTCTGCCTGCTCCTGGCTCCTCTGCCTCGGAGTGTGCAAGTTTGGCACCCAGAGGCAGCTGGAAGGGGAGGACGCTTTCGGATTGGCCACTTTCCCCTTTGCCCTGGAAGCCCTGTCGGCTCTGGGGCTCTGGGGCACTGCCTGGGCGTTGGGGCCCTCTGGGAATTGAGGCCTGGGCTGCAGTCGGCCTCGTGGCCGCTCACCCCCTTCCAGCTGGATGTCGGAGGACGGGCTCAAACTCCAGCATGGCCACTTCCTGGTCTAAGTCAAACCTCAGTCTTTTCATCTGTCTAGTGGGCCAAGGAAGGCGCCCCTGACAGGCAGACAGAAGGACTTGTGCAGAGTGTGTGGCACCTGCCACCAGCTTACACATGGAGAGGCCTGGTTACAGGCCTTCCCACCTGCACCTACAGGGCTGCCTCTAGGCTGTGTCCCTACAGGGTCACATTTGAATCTCTAGAAACCCCTGTCCATGCCCCTGACACTGCCTCTGGGATGTCCTGAGGGTATCTCACTCTCAAACCCCTGAGGTCCCCTCCTCTGGGGACCATGAGGCTGAGAATCCTAGAAATGACCCAATTCTATCCCAGCCACACAGCCCAGTCCAGGCCTGTAGCAGGGGCCAGGCATTGCCTGGTAGCTGGAAGGAGCTGAACTCTGGGTTGGACATCTGGGTAGGGGGCCCGGGCAGCTCAGTTTTCCAGGTTGCAGAGGGTACCCTACCCCCACCCCCACCCACCAGCCACCTGGCCTCTCTGAGGAAAAGTGTTCAAGGCAGTTTATCATGTACCTCAGAACTCTCCCAGACCCAGCTGGCGTGGCTCAGCGGTTGAGCATCGACCTATGAACCAGGAGGTCGTGGTTCGATTCCGGGTCAGGGCACATGCCCGGGTTGCGGCTCGATCCCCAGTCCGGGGCATGCAGGAGGCAGCCGATCAGTGACTCTCTCATCACTGATGTTTTTCTCTCTCTCCCTCTCCCTGCCTCTCTCTGAAATCAATAATGACATATTTAATTAAAAAAACAACTCTCCCAGCCTCTGCCCATTTGCAAATCCCAGCTCCAAAGCCACTTCCAGGTTCTGGTATTTGCTACAGCAGCACTGCATTCTGGGTACTACAGCCAGTATTAGTTTCCTACAACTGCTGTAAGAAATTACCACAAAATTAATCCATGGCTTAAAACAGCACACATTCATCACCTTACAGTTCTGGAGGCCAGAAGCCCAACATCCGTTTTACTGGGCTGAAGTCAAGGTGTGAGCAGGCTGCATTCTTCCCCGAGGCTCCAGGGGAGAACCCATTTCCTCATCTTTTCCAGCACCTGGAGACCATCTGCATCCCTCGGCCCATGGCTCTTCCTCCAGCAACCACATCACTCGATGGCCTCTGCTTCCACCATCACACCTCCTTCTCCCACTCTGACACTCCTGCCTCCCTCTCGTAAGGACCCTGTGATTGCACTGAGCCCCCCTGAACAATCCAGAATACTCTCCACACCTCAAGACCCTTTTGCCACGTAAGGTGACATATTCACATCTTTGGGGCCATTATTCTGTCTACCACGGGAGCGGTAGGATTGCTTTGCCAGTCCCAAGCCCCGTCCAGAGGGCTTGTTCAGGACTGAGAGGTCATGAGGGGTGATCAGGCCACTGTCCTGGCCAACACGCTGGCTGGAGCCTGGCTGGAGGCTGGCTGGGGCCCAGAGCTCCAGGAAACCTGGCGCCTGCCTCTGCTGTCGCCAAGGACAGCCTGTACTCCTGGCGAGACCACCGTGCGGAGATCAGGTGCACTTGATCCCTGGCAGTGGCCATGGCTCAACTTAAGCAGCTGCCTGGCTCAGGTGGGAGGCCAGGCCTTTGTGGCTTCCTCTGCCTGCTGATGGGCCTATGTGAGAGCTGCCATCGGGTCAGATGGGAGCCATGTGGAAAGTTCCAACTCCGTTCTAGAAAATGCACACACTGCCGGCTTATTGGTGTGACACATGCTGAGCTTGGGGTATGCCAGGCCCGCATGGAGCCCCAGAGGGATGAAGAGACAGCAAGGTTTCCAAATGCAAGGGGGCAGGATGTCATCAGTGCTGCTAAAGTCTGGGCTAGGGGCTGGCTGGGAGAACAGGGAGGTCGGGGCAGGTGCTCCAGGGAAGGGAGCTTGTGCTGGAGCTTGAAGAGGACGGCCAGCTGTGGCGTGGCGGGCAAGGGCACTCCTCACTGATGCACGGGCTGGGCTGAGGGAGGGAGGCATGGCGAGGGAATGGCCGGGACCTCTTGCCCAGGGGAGTCAAGCCTTGTGGTTTTCTGGGAAGGACGCTGTCCCCAAGGGTGGCTCCTGCTTCAGTGACCTCAGCTGTCCGTACACTGTCGCGCTGTCATTATGCTCTCTTGCGGGGCCATGCTTGCCAAGGCCTTCCCTCTGTGGTGGGCCTGAGGCCAGGAGGGTGAGAGCCCCAGGGGGGCCAGCACTGGCCAACGTGTGGCCCCAGCTGTGGGACAAGGGGACACCAGACTGCTAGTTAGGGAAGCCACCGAGATGCCACTGAGAACAGTGGGAGACGACGGCACAGGCGAGAGAGGGAAGGCAGTGCTGGGGAGGACCCGGCAGGTACAGGTCAGACAGCACAGGGGCTCAGGAAGCCAGAGCCTTGCTCTGGCTGTGTCCCACACTCCCTCCCAGGCTCCTCTGGAACAGGCATAAAGTGGAGTCCCCGGCTCCTCCTCAAAGGAAGCCTGGGGCATCTTGGAGTCCATGAAGCTGGGACATGGCAAGGGGCAGGATGCCAGGGCCCTGGGAGCTGCACTGTGACCTCTGCGAAGACCAAAGTGACCGCCAGCCACAGTGGGGGTGTCACTCAGGCCAGGTATGACCCAGCAATACAGACCCCCAAAGGCAGGGACCGAACCTCCTGTCTCCATTGGACTACCTTCCACCATGGGACTTTAGGTGGCCACATCTTCTTTTGGGAAGTCCCTGCCCAGGGATTGGGCACTCAGATGCCAGCTACACACTCCACCTGGCTGACAGCGTAAAACGAGGCTGTCACCTTGCTCTGGCCCTGGAACCAGAAGAGCCAGCGTCTTGTTGGAAAAGTTGCTGCCCCAGGCCCACTGAAACATAATCCAGAACCCCGCATCCTGGCTCCAGCAGAGGACGCTGCCCACCCAACCCCACTGGCACCACCGGGTCAGGCCCTCACAGTTACTAGGATGGAAGGGGAGTCAAGGAATAAGCCAGCCTGGTCTGCCATGCTTTTATGAGCCCGCCCTAACGCAGGCTCACACCAGCACCTGCCAGCCTGGAGGTTTCCCATCACTGTGGGCGGCAGGGCTGGTCCTTCAGGCCTCCTGGCCGCCATGAGTTTCTGCACAGACCAGAGCTGGGGTGCAGGTCACACCTGGGGTCTGCAGGGAGGTGTGTGGTAGCACACCCAGGGAAGCTGGCGCCGAGTCAACCCTGGGGAGACAGGGCTCAGTGCCAAGCCCCCGGCATGTGGGCCAGGAGCACCTGTGTGCCTCCCTCCATGCTGCTCTCCCATGACACACTGCTAGGGCAGAAGGAAGCTCTTAGCCCCAGCACAGAACATTAGGTCACCACTTGTCAGTCTCCTAACACTTTATTAGTCAAATCTTCCAAATCCCAAAGCTGTTCCATCCACAGAGACGCTGGGCAACCTGCACTGGCCACACTGGTGTGACGGAGCCAGACTGGGAACCTGGGTCTGCTCAGGACTGAGGGTGCCCTTGCTCTTTGCTGACCCGGGAAAGACACCCCTGCCCTTCCTTCTGCCCCAGAGTCTCCTAGAAATGTAGAGCAGGGGGAATCCCAGAGCCATGGGAAGGCCCCAGGGTCTCGGGCTCTGCAAGGCCCCATCCACCTCTCTCCAAGGAGCATTCCAGGAAGAAGCATCATCTGGGCACCCTGGCAGGCTGAGGCCCCGGCCAGGAGTCTCCAGGGCAGCCACCCCATGGCCCAGACCTCCGGATATGCAGGAACCGGGGTCTAAGGAGACAGAAACAAGGGGCCAGTCACTGCCTGGGCCCTGGGGAGTGAGCAGGGAGTGGGAACATCACACTGTCCCCAAGCTGGAGCTGTGATGGGCCAGTGGAAGGACTAGTGTGGCTGTGGGGGCTAGGGGCAGGGTAGAGTCTCACCTCCCACAGAAATCCCTGCGCACAGACACAAGATCAAGGGACAGGTCAGGCCGGCTCTGAAGCCAGCTGCCAACGAGCTCTGGGTGTCTTGGGTCCACTTCTAAGAAGATGCTCCTACACAGGGTAGAAAAGGGTGAGCTCAACCCGACAGGGCTGGGGGCAGAATGACTGCAGGGCAGGCCCAGTGCACACTAAGAGGGGATGAGGCTGCTGGGAACTGACCCAGGGGATCCGTCCCATCCATACCCAGAGTCCTTCAGGAGCCGCGGGGCCAGGGCCAGGACGTGCATAATGATATCCATGCCCTTCTCCCCACCGTCTAGGGCTGCTGGGTCTTCATAGCTGAAGGGAAGCAGTGGGAGGTGAGAGCCTGGGACAGGGATACCTGGAAAGTGTGGAAGAGCTGAGCAGAGCCTCCTTGAAGGGGGCCCTGTCAACTTACACTCTGGGCTGAGAAGTCTTGAGGACCCAGGGGAGGGGGCCCCCAGAGGATGGCAGCTCCAAATCCCCTGCTCTACAGGGAGCTCTCTTCCAACACCAGAACCCTTTCAGCCCCCTCCCCCACTCCATCTGCCAGAGGGTGTGGTCCTCCAGGGCAGACCCATCCCACTTGGCCTTCTCAGGCCTGGCTCCCAGCTCCAAGCCATCCCGCACCTGCAGATCTCAGGGGCCAGCTGCTCCATGTCCTGGTGGAAGACGTAGGGAGGGTTGCTGACGACCAGGTCCATGGGGCCCCAAGGCTGGAGGTGTGCCCAGCTCCCCTCTGTGGCCACAGGGAACATACAGCAGAGAGTGGGAGGTAAAGAGTGGCAGCTCCATCCACCACCATACCCCTTGGGTCGTCCCTCTCCCCAAGCCACACCTTGGGCCTATCTCTGAACCTAATAAACCAGACTTGCAGATTAGTGCCCAGGGTCCCCGACCAGCAACCCTGATACTCTGTGCCTGGGCACATAGGGACAGAGGAGCAATTAAGTATTTTGGTCCTAAAGGCTTTCTCCTGAGCCTCTGCTTATCTCTTGACAACAAACAGGCTTTAGATAACTCAGTAGTTATGGGTGATTTGGAAGATAAGAAAAACCCCAGGGCTGGTCCCCTGGTTAAGTCAGCCAGGAGGCAACAGGGACTCGCCTGTCCTCAGCAATGATTGGTCTGATACCCCTTGTGTGCATGCATGTGATGCCTGTGCATGTGTGCATGTATGTGTGTGTATGTGCATGTGTGTACATGCGTGTGTGTATGTGACAATAAATGTTGGGAAGCCCTCCCTTCAGCTCCCCAAGTGCCTTAGCCAGCCAGCTGCACCTGTCCCCAGGATAACCAACACAGGGAAGATGGGTGGGGAAGGTACCTGAGGTCACATCCAGGGGGACTATCCGAATCCTGTCCTGCAACTGAAGCCTGGAGAGAAGTGAAGATGGGAAGAGAAGTGAGCAAAGGGGCCAGGCTCCTCCCCTTCCTGGACCAGAAGATACCTGGTGCCCACCGTTGATTTGTATCCCCCCCGGAGCCACGCCACGCTGCCCCAGGGCCTCACCCTTATTGGGAGTGAACATCAGTGGGTTTGTTACCTGAACAGGGGCTGAGATCAGGCCCAAGTCTGACTCCCCTCGCCCTGACCCTCTGGTCCCCCAGCCCGCTTACCTCCAAGCATTCTCATGGGTCAGCGCAATGGCAGCTTCTCCCTTATCCACAGCAATGACTTGGCTCTGCCCCAAGAACAAATAAAGGGCATGTGGGAGGCAGGAGTCGGGAGAGGCCAGGACCTCCACCAATCCCTCGCCAGAAAAGGAAAGAGATACCCACATCTTCCCTCTCTCTACAGCTACTGTCTGCCCAGACAGAAGGGGATGGGAAGTAGAGGCTGTGACCATGGTGGGCTGGGGAAGCCCTATCCTCAGACATCTGGTAGCTTCCCCTCAAGTGCTTCAGGTAGAGACGGGGGGGCAGGGAGGGTGTCACATAGCGAGTACCACTCAGTCTCCCCAGGGCAGGGTGGAGGGATGCTGAGAAAGCTCACCTGGGGAAGCTGGCTCAGCAGGCTGAGGGAGATGGCTCCCGATCCACAGCCCACCTCCAGGATGAGGGGGCCACCTTGGGCTCCCACCATACCGGGCTTCTGGGCCACCTCCTCCAGCACCCATTCAACCAGCTCCTAAGAGGTAGAGGGGTCTGAATCAGAGTAGGTGCCAACCTGGCCCCTAGGGGTCTCAGCACAGAGACCCAAGCATAATCAGCCTGAGTGGATGCAGGAGGTATGGCTAAAGCCACACTGAACATCCTGTCTGCTGGAACCACAGGTGTGTAACTCTGTCTCTGTTGCCCCATCTGCAAATTTGAGCACCGTTGAGGATAACCCGCCTCACTGGGGTGTGGTGGGGAGTAAAGCACACCACGTTCTTGAAGTACATGGTACTTTGGTGCACGGTACATGGTAAGTGTTCAATAAACCACAGCTAAGCCCAGAGCCAAGCTCACCTGTCCCCAGGGTAGCAAGTCCGAGGAGGGCAGAACTTGACCAGCGAGACTGACTTTTCCTGTTCCAAGCCTCTTCTGTACCAAACAAGCTACTCCTTACAGGTGAGCTGACCTGGCTCCAGTCAGAGAGGGCTTCCCTCACTCACCCATCGGCCCTGTACCAAGCACTGCAGGAGACTTGGGATGCCAGCAGCCGGCTGGGCCCACAGTGCTGGGACTGATAGAGCAAACAGCAGAGGACTGTGGCTGAAAGCCTGCGGTCTCAGTGGTGAGGCCATGTACTGAACAGCTGCTGGGATGGCTGAGATGTGTCAGAGGTGTGAGATTCTCTTGGTTTCCTGGCCACAGACAGACCCGTTTGGCTGGAGAATGACCCCTCAGCCAACCACACTGGCCAGCCACCTCCCAGACACCCCAACCTCAGAGACACACACCACATATGTGAATGGCCACCGTGGGCAGGGTGTGAAGCTGAGAGACTGTGCCCCACTGCCACCAATACCCCTTGCCCCTCTTGTACACTCCAGACCACAGGACCATCTTGGCTGTGGGACCACCAGGGGGAGGGGGGAAGACCACCCCTGAGAAATCCATAAACTCTTTCTTCCTCCCCCAGTGAAGAGCCTCCCCCAGCCTGAAGCTGGTGGCTCATGGGGGAGGCTGAAAGCAAAGCTGGTCTCAGGCCCAGGGCACCTTTTCCAGGTGAACAAGGGAAGGGTCCAAGGACAGAGTGAGAGGAAAGCAAAGGGGCACGCAGGAAGGAAAGGGAGCAGGCAGCTGTCGGTTCTGCCTGGAGCCACTGCCTCCACAGGACTCCACACTCCCTCAAAGGCTGGCCCAAGGCCTTAGCAGGTGCCACAAGCACACTACTAGGATCCCGTCCCTGGTGGGGCATCCCTAGGACAGTGGCATCACTTCCCTCAAGCCGGTCACAGAAAAGGCACTGAGCCTCCCAAACCCCAGAGACTCACTCACCAGGCTGGGTGGGAGCGGCTCCCACTCACAGCCTTGGGTTTCTCACTGTACACTCTATGGGCAGGGACTGAGCCACCTTCCCACCTCCAGGGAAAACCCAACTTATCAGGCCACACACCTACGGCTTGACGTTTCAGACCTCTGCACCCACTAACAGAAACCACACTTCGATTGATGGAGAGAAGCAAGCGTCATGATCCCTCCCATGTACCCATTCTCCCCACTCCCTGCCACAGGCCACGTCCTCTCAAGTTCTTGGTAAGGCACCCACCTATATAGCTTCACGTTGGGGTGAACCTGGTAAGTTCCGAGAAATGTCTGTACAGTGAAGACTCAGGCTCCCAACCTCAGCCTCCCTCCTCACCCCCCTCCTGCTGCAGCGGAACTGCTCTCCTGGCCCCAACCCAGCCAGGAAAGGTGGGGGGGCCCACATGGGAGCCAGAAGTCTACACTCTGAACCCTGGAATACATGACTAGTGCTAAGTCAACTTTAAGGCGACTCAGAAGTCAGCATGGTCGCTTCCCTCCCAGACCCTGACCCTTGGAAGCTTCAGGGAAGTGAGTGACCTCCTGGCCAGAGGTCACATGCTTGGGGGAGCCACAGGGCCTCCCAAAAGCCTGCAGGTGGCAGGCCGTATCCTACTTGGGTCTCAGCACCCGTTCCTAACTTAGCCAATCCAGATGGGGCAGTCCCATGTGAGGTAGGGGGCCCTGACCCTGGAGCCAGGGTGTCCGAGTGCTGCCCCCATGCAACCTCCTTCTTCCCCACCCCCCAACTCTGCCACCCCCATAGGAGCCCTGTGACTTCAGAAATGTCTTAGATTCCTTACTGTCCCTGCCCTGACACTGGGCAGTGAGGCGAGGACCTGGCCTCCACACTGCATGATGTGGGGGTGAGTGGGGTGAGAGGATTTCTTGGCTTGGGGAGAGAGGCTGGGAAAGTGAGGAGGGTCCTGGGTCCCTGGCTGGGCTGCAGACAATGCCTGATGTCTCCCAGGAATGTTTGTGTGCCTAGATGCCTTCTAGAAACACCCCCGTCTCAGAACCTGGTGCCCTCTGGTTTCCCCACTGGTCCCAACTAGCCCCAACCCCTGCTCTGCTCTGGCTCCCAGCTCTGCCACCTACAAGGCCCAACCCTCTCATCATCTGGGCCCAGAGGGGGCAGTGACCTGCCTGAGGTCACATAGGTGGACCAGGCCCCCAGATGTCCAGCTAGAGCCCTCTCCACTTTGCCTATGCCTCCTGAGGCAGAAGACCCTTATTTCCTATGGGTTGGGTAGACCATTGGTGCAAGGGAAAACTCCTAGGGAAATGATAGGCACAGGCTAAGCACTGGGTAGACAGCACTAGTTGAAGGACCCTGAGCCACTGCTAGCCCTAGGGGCTGGGGCAATGGCTTGGGATTTAAGGACAGTTAAGGACGCCAGCAGGAGATTTTGGTCTTCTTGACCCCATATACCCAAACAGCCAAGACACACCTTTGGAAGGGCACTGCCTCTAAAAATAGCAGTCATGGGGCCCCAGTGCCCCCTGGAGGAGGTCTGGGGCAAGACAAGTGTTCTGAACCCCTCATCCCCATCCAGCACACCTACCTCTGTTTCTGGCCGAGGGATGAACACTGGGGGTGCCATCTTCAGACTGAGCCCCTGAAAGTCCCACTCACCAAGGATGTACTGCACAGGCATCCTGCAGAGGGGGTGGCTGGGTGATTATCAGTGCCAGAGCCTGGACCAAGAGGACCATGCCTGGGTTCAGGGATAGATAACACTTGTGGCTGAAAGTGCAAGGCAGAGTCATGCCTCCTGTGCCCTGGGACTCCTAGCCAAGGCCTTCCCTCCCTACCGTCTTCCTGTTTATTACTCTGACCCCCTCTCATCACTTCTTCATCCCAACACCTCCCTAGTCCTTGGACACTTTTCTCCTCCCTGGTCATGAACTTGGTGGAGAAAGCTGAACCCCTGCTCCTCACAGAGCCCTCAGGTCTAGCTCCTGGGTGCTCACCTTTGCAATCGGCAGCTACTCAGCTCCTGGATGCACTGTAGTTGCCAAGGGGTCAGGGGCTGCATCCGAAGTACTGGTCTTAGGCTCTGAAACTGTTCCACAGTGAATGTGAGTGGCTGGCTCCTCTGGTCCAGATTTCTTATGTGGGCAAAGCCTATGGGCCCAACACTGGCCACCTTGGTCATCCCCGGACACCTAGCCTGGCACACACTATAAAGGTTTGTTGAATGAATGAATAAGTATCTGCCTAAGGCATTCCTCCAGAAAAATCGCATCAGCCTCAGATCAACACTCTCAGTGGGACAGAAAAGCCTGGAAGTCCCTTCCCCAAGGTCCTCCCTCTTCCCTCCTCCACAAGGTCCTCTGACTCCCCCACTTAACAACACTGCACTTAACTGTTTTGGCTCCAAGGACATGAGCCACGATGTACTCACTGGATTCCCGGGCCTCGGGGATGCCCCTCTTCTCAAAGACCGCTGTCCAATGGCTGACCAGCTCTGTAGCACTCAACAACCCTGCCTGAGGCAGATGGGGTGGCGAGGAGCTGAAGGCCCAGGCTGGAGTGCCTCCCCTCCTCCCCAGGCCAGACAGGATGGCCTGCAGCATTCTACCCCAAAGCGCCATGTCCCAAGGGAAGGCTCCCCTGAGCACTCCCAAGTCCCCAAGTCTTTCTTGTGATGTCAACTGCTGAGGATGGTCACTGGCCCCAGCTGGGTGGAGATGAAGAGGTCACAGGCTCTGGCTCCTCCAAGTGGTTCTGCTCTTCAGATGTGCTGCCAACCTGGCAGAGGGAAGGAGAACCTGTACAGCGGCTGAGCCTTATGTGACCCACTCCCCCCTGACCTGCTGCCTGAGAAAGGGCATGCGCTTGCTCTGTCACCTTCTAGATTCTATTTTAGACTCTTACCCACTCATTTGATTCCTCTGGTCTTGGCCAGTGATGTCGCCTTCATGTTTTTGGCTGAGGTGGGCTGAACCCATAGCTCAGTCCCTGCTAATAAATGGGTCGGGGACCAGCCTTGGGTGTTGGACAAATCTGTTTCGCCCAGAGTGTGTGATCTCGGAAAAGTCATAATTCCTAAGTCTTGGTTTCCTTGTCCATAAAATGGGGGAAATAACACTAATTTTATGACAAGCAGTGCATTAGTCGATGAAAAGTCAAGGGTCCGGGAGCCAGCCCAACACACAGGAGGGACTAACTCAATGCTCTTAACTAATGTTACAAGGGGGGGAGCCTGCCTTTGCTTGGGGGTTTTGCTTTTGATATTTTGCCTGAACTGTCAGATTTGGATGCTGAAATGCCCCGCCCCCAATATGTCAACATAAATTGCCAGCTAAAATATCGACAATTTTTGTTAATTTTATATTTAAGTTATCACAAACAAGTTTTACTGAAGGTTTTTAATCAGTGGTCCCCAGACCAAGGTCCAAAGAAGCGTTTATTGAGCACCTGCTGGGTGCACATCTTCAGAGGCAAGCAGGGAGGGAAAGGAGGCTCTGGGAGGGACAGCGACTTGCCCAAAGTCACCCACCCAGCTAGGAATGTCCAGGCAGCACCCAAGCCCAGGCCCTCCGGGCATCAGCGGAGTCTCGGTCCGCGGAGCCCGGCGGCGCCTGAAGTGAGGGGCGCAGCTCCTCCCTCAGTCCCCACAGCAACGCTGACGCCCCAGCCTCTTTCCCCATAGGCACGGCGGGGGTTGGGGGGTGCGGGGGTTGTTCACGAAAGCGTCGCAATCCAGGCACTGCCCCCTCCCGACCCCACCTCCAGCGCCTACCTGTCCGAAGTGCAGCCCGACCGGCCCGCCAGCGGGAGGAAGACGGCCCTGGGCTCAGCGCCCGGAAGTGCGTGACCGGCGCTGCGCTCCCTCGAACGCCCTGCTTCCGGGTCGGCGCAGCGGAGAAAGGGCTCGGGCGGTCCCCGTCCCCCGGCTCCAGAGTTCCTAGCGCCACCGAGTAGCACCCGAGAGCCCCCTGCAGGCTGTGCGAGGGGCTGTGAACGCCACGCCCACTACGCCCGCAGGCCCACGAGTGGGAAAGTGCACGGCTGTGGGGGGTGGTTGCTCCCTGGGGGCCCCGATCTTCCTGAAGGTCACGGCAGAAACCCGGCTCCAGGCCGCGGTGACTGCTCCGGGCTGGCGTTTGGGCACCCGGCCCGGGAGGCGTGTAGCCAGCAGGGAGGGAGGACGGTCACCAGCCGGTCCCGGGTTCCAGGGTTGACACTATGCCCAGGGGCGTGGTCTAGCAGAGCTTGCAGGCGGGTAAGGCTGCTAGGGAGCGGGTCCCGGTGTCGAGGCCGGGACCAATCTGGAGGGCGGGACCCAGATCCTGGACCCGGCCGAGGGAGGGGCCCGAGCCCCGCGGGGGGCGGGGCAGGTGGCGACTGGAGCCCGGGGCGGCTCTTGTTCCTCTGCTCCCGCTTTAGGGTTTGGAGACCAGGTGCGAATCCTGACTCCGTCGTAAGGCTTTACCCAGGTGCCTGGCCCAATATGGGCCTCAGCTGCTCCTTCTCTAAAAGTCATGGCGGCGGAGTGTGGCCGGCAACGCCCCCTTCCCTCACCGGAATTTATTGTTAACTAGACCACTGTTCGCCGAACTATTTGCCATGCAGTTTCCCGGGCTCCGTCCCAGGCGCGGGGGGCCGCCGGGAATCAGTATTTGTAACAAGTTACTTGGAGGATCCCCATAAATTCCTTTGAAAACGTGAGGAATGGAAGGTGTCTGAAGGCCCCTCGCCTGGGCCGCGCTCATCGCGCCCGGGATGGAGGCTACCGGGAGGGGTGCACGCCGCTTGCTCGGGTCGGGGTCCCCGATAGCACCGTTCCAAGAATAATACCACCCCTCTCCCAGCTTCTCTGAAGATGCCGCATTTGCACCCGGGGGTGGGTGTCATTTACCAAGAGCCCTCACCCCAGCGCCCCTCGGAGCAGGAACCCGAGACCCCGGGAGGGGAAGCATCTTGCTCCAGGTCACGAAGCCAGAACAGCGTCGAATCAGAGTTCGACGCAGGCCCAAGGACTCCGGGTCCAAGGCTCTCCCCAATCCTGCGTTATGGGAGCGAGTCTGCCCTGGCGGAGGTGCAGCCGGGCTGGCCCGGGGCCCGAGTTCTGGCCCAGGAAGGGCCG